AACCAAATATAAACACTTTTGGGTCGTGTGAGGAGCCATGAAAAAATGCAAAAGTTTTGCGTTCTGAAGAATTTGATCATGTGACCTCTCTCGTATGAATCTAGAGAGATATCCACCCTATCTAGGACCAATTGGCAACTGTGTAGGATGCTCTCTGGCTCTTCTTATGCGAACCGTGGAGGAAGGGGAATGTAGAGGCGCCACAGTGAAAAAGCCACAGTGAGAAGAATCCCTCGTAACTTCTTTCAGAGAATCGTTCCGCAGATAACGAAAACGGATTTGAGCTCAGCGTCGCAAGACGCGTACATCGGACTACACCTCATTACAAATGGCCGGACTGACCAATTGAGCATTCCTCGTCAGTTTGCACACTGTTATTCGTTGTCTCTGAAGAAGTCCCGTCTAGCGCATGCAAAACTAACTAGCAGAATCTATGGATTTTCGAAAGCAACCGCATTGTGATGAGGCTATTATCCTATCTACCTATCTGCTATCTTATGCGATACGTCATAGTCCACGTTGCATCTAGGCAAGAGCGAGGTATCTCGTCTGTAAGTTCACATTGGTCGCCACTCCATTTCAACATCTGCAACAGCATGTCCCCCTTCGGACAACAGACCCGTGGTTTTTCAGGAAGCCTGCTTAATTGGAATTCGCTTTCTCTTCAGGTGTTGATGGTCCGAGTTCATGATGGTGAGACACGTATTTACACACTGTTTGGGCGAGTTTGTTAACTGCCTCATCTCTGAGTGAATAGTTTTATTTGTTCTGTATTGGTAATTCATACGTGTTGAAGTTTTCTAGTCTTTTATGTTCGTCATGCTTCGAAGTATCAGATAAAAGGTTGCTTGAACCTTTACATGAAGGTGTATCACAGGAGACTTTGCCATATACATTTTATTTACTTAACATTACATAACAAGGGACAAAGGAAAGGTGAGGAGGTAAGTAGAAGGCGGTGAGGCGAGTCGGCCTCACGCCGACGGCCTAGCTGACGCTCCAAGCTGGCAGCAGCTTAAA